AACCATTTTATCAGAAATATCAGATTACCGGAGACATTGGAAAATAAAGCCTCTAGTAAAACCTCCGCAATTTGTCATGGAAATGAATGCATGAATTTAAACCTATGACAAATCATGGGAATTACAGAATGTTTAATGAGTGAATATTTACTAAAAGATTAAAAAATATGGGCGGAGTATGAAACCCTTGTTTTGCATTTGCCTAGCAATAATAAGGAAGCTTAAGAAAAACACATACACACGCACACAAAAATTATTGTGAAATGCCTAGCATATTTTTTGAAAACCAGCTATTGTTTGAAACGTACCAGCAAGTAGTGCACAATGCAGCCCTGCAAGGTATGAACTGAAGTATGTGAATTCCAATTTTCTTAATAATATCCATCAGAATTCCCAACAAACACAGACACTATTTACTCACCATAGCTAAGAAGTGCATGTCCAGGAACAAGCCTGCAAGACCAAATTAAAAAATCCGAGTGGGGTTTGATAAAAGGTAAATTTCTATTCGAAACTAAATCCGAAAGATGATGTGTAACAATAACTGCATAAAGAGATGGTAGAATTTGTCTAAAAGTGTATGAAATTTTCCTTAAGAATACTACATGATATTAAAAATAACTTACCTATATAGAAATACAATATCTTCAATATCTGTACCATCGTCAGGTCGTAGGACACTCATGGTGTAATACTTAATGTTATCAGACTGCAAATAATATATATATATATATAGATGTGTCACTCAGTTGAAATAGTTAATACTTCAAGTTTTAAAAAATGCAATGTCTTGTTTATACCTCTTGTATGCAACTATCATTAAATATCTCAGTCAAGTGAGTGCAAACCAAAACCTGCAAATTAGTGGAACATATCCCGTCACAAGTTGCCTATCAAAACAAATGTGACTAGCAAACCTAGAGGTGACCTCCAGGAACGCACTCTTAGTATGAATTTGCATTTATTAGAAACTCTGGTTGGATAGCAATTGAGAGCATCAAACCTTTGGAGGATCATAGCAAGTGATAAAATGATTTATAGTTCCACCAAGGAGACCAGTGCCATCTGAAATGAATTTTAACAACAGCGTATGATAGCTAAAAAATTACATTTATTGCATGACATATCAAAAGGATGGAAATTATTCTTGGTAAAACCAACCTTCTGTTAGAGTGCCTTTACCAAATTCGTCCAACAAGCATAAAGATCGTGAAGTTGCATGCCTATGAAAGTTCTCGGAATCAATATATATAAATGACTAAGTTGTATACCCTATGGTTCCAGCACCTTTTCAAATCCATAGCAAGGAAATAACAAGGGCCAACAAAACAACGCCCAATTAGTACACAAGGGCCAACAGCCAACAAAAAATAAAATCAGTGGACTAATCACCAGAACCAAACACCAAGGATGCAAGGGGTAGATTCAATGCCATGTCCATTATTAGTAGATTAAGAGAAAACTGTGTAACTATACCTTAGCATCATTCCAACTTGATGTAGATCAATCATAAATGTTGACTGTTCAGCATTCATAAATTTGCTTCCCATGGCACAAAATATCCTATTTTTTGGAATTCTGGTAAGTTCTCTTAGTAAAATATGCAAAAATGCAGTACCAAAAAAATTAATGATACCAAAAGGCCAGGGATATAAATATCGAACCTGTCAGTCAAACCCACAGTAGCAGCATCTGCAGGTACAAAACTTCCAATGTGGGAAAGGAAAACAATTAAAGCTACCTGAAAAAAAAATAAAATAAAATAAAAAATTATCTTTCAAGATGTGTCAAATAAATATTTCTATTTATCAAAGATTAGTGCATTTATACAGAACATAAATGCAACATTATTATTAAAACTTTGACACAAAGAGGAAGGTGAAACACTAACAAACCTTACACTTATAGTTGTCAAATAAAACTATTGAAGAAATAATAAAATAGACAATATAATTAACTTAAAGCAGATATTATATAGTGTTAGAATACTTATTTTTGTTTTTTTGTTCTCTTGTTAATATTTACTTAAGTTGAGGGTACGATGGTCATATTGCTATGTTAAGGTTTGTATATATATTTGACTGATGTAAAGTTAAGGCACAATGATTATTCAATATATGTAAAATATCTCTTTCTTCTTCTTCTTCTTCTTCCTCCTAAATTCCAACCCTAAATTCCTTCATTTTACTTTCTAACTTGGTATCAGAGCAATCTATTCTTCATCAGAAAGGTTTCTACAAACTCTGGAGATCGATCTAAGATGATCGAGACGTGCTGATGTCATCAGCCGTACGATGACGTCAGCATGACGTAAGCACTGTACGAACGGGTCATTCACCCCTAGACTCAAAATTGCCTCTTGAGATTTATGGTGATTTTTGTGAAATTTTTTGATCATCCCTGATGTGAGTTTTCGATTTTTGAAAGTATTTCATATTTTTTGGGACTATTTTTCAAATCCATATTGCTATGTTAAGGTTTGTATATATATTTGACTGATGTAAAGTTGAGACACAATGATTATTCAATATATATAAAATATCTCTTTCTTCTTCTTCTTCTTCTTCCTCCTAAATTCCAACCCTAAATTCCTTCATTTTACATTCTAACTTGGTATCAGAGCAATCTATTCTTCATCAGAAAGGTTTCTACAAACTCTGGAGATCGATCTGAGATGATCGAGACGTGCTGATGTCATCAGCCGTACGATGACGTAAGCATGACGTAAGCACTGTACGAACGGGTCATTCACCCCTAGACTCAAAATTGTCTCTTGAGATTTATGGTGATTTTTGTGAAATTTTTTGATCATTCCTGATGTGAGTTTTCAATTTTTGAAAGTATTTCATATTTTTTGGGACTATTTTTCAAATCTGCTCTTGGGACTGCTTTTTGCTGTTTTTTCTTGCTGGAATCTCTACCCTAGGAGCCGAAAATACCAACCCCAGGGGTCCTCAATCTTAATTTGTGGTTTTGCTACTGTTGGGTTGATGTTTTGTTCGATTATTGCCTATTTTTGGTCCAGTAACACAGTTTTCTTCATTTCTACCTATTGAAAGTTCCTATATAAGGGCTGAAATCCTTCTAGCAAGGGATATTTGCTCTCTATTTATTGATTTCTGCTGTTAAGTTGGTGTGTTGGTCTAATTTGGGTCCAAATTTGGTTGGCAGACCTGTGTTCTCACTTTCGCCTATTTTTGCTGTGAATTTTTGTTTTTTGAGATAGTTTTGTGTCTATATTGGTGATTGTTGGTGCTGGTTGTTGTGGGTATTGGTTGTTTGCAAGGATTTTTCCCCTTCCATGCTTGTTTTGAGAATTTTGTGTGATTGATCACTATACTTGATGTAAGAATTTATGTATTATTGATTTATTTATATTGATATTATGTATATTACAAATGGTGAGTGGCTCATTATATAGAGGGTGAGTGTAGTAGGTGAGGAGTAGGTGAGGAGTAGGTGGTGGTAGGTGATGGTAAATTGGTGGTAGGTGATGGTAAATTTTAACAGCCCCCCGCAAACTCAAGGAGGATAGAACCTAACCAACTTAAGTTTGGAGAGAGTAACAAAACAAGAAAATACATAAAAATAAAAGAGGATAGGAGACACTGTATGGTCGTGTCAGACCGATGGTGAAGACACTGGATGGTGGTATCATAACGTTGTAGAGGACACTGTATGGGGGTGTCATAACGTTGTAGAGGACACTGTATGGCGGGGTCAGACCGATGTAGAAGACAGTTTATGGGGTCCATGGCGGACCGTTGTAGCAGGACAGTTTACGGGATCATGTCGAACCGTTGTAGAAGACAGTTTACGGGGTCATGTCGGACCGATGTAACAGGACAGTTTACGGGGTCATGTCGGACCGTTGTAGAAGACACTGTGTGGTCGTGTCAGACCGATGTAGAAGACAGTTTACGGGGTCATGTCGGACGTTGTAGCAGACAATGTTGTGACAGTTGTTGTGACAGTTTACAGAGTCTTGCTGGACCCCTTGTAGAAACTAACCGGAATCAATGTCGGGACAGTTTACAGAGTCTTGTCGGACCCATAAAGGAGCTAACCGGAATCAATGTCGGGACAGTTTACAGAGTCTTGTCGGACCCATAAGGAGCTAACCGATCAAATATCGGACAGTTTACAGAGTCTTGTCGGACCCATAAAGGAGCTAACCGGAATCAAATGTCGGGACAGTTTACAGAGTCTTGTCGGACCCTTAAAAAGTCGCACCCTCAAAAGGTGTGCCCAATCTTTCAAAAGGCGTGCCATCAAAAGGCGTGCCCAATCCATAAAAAGGTGTGCCGGACATGATGGCGAGGCACGTGAGTGCCTTGGCTGGCGCACCCGGTTTGTCGTCTGGCGTCAAGAGGCGCGCGATGCGCGTGTCTGCCTCGGCTATTTAACCAAGACGAAGGCAGAGGCTGAGGCAGAGGCTGAGAAAAAACTTGCGAAAAACCTCTGAAAAAAAAAACTCTTCGTTTTGCTGAGAGAGATAGGCTGTAACACTTTGTTGCCCAGAAAATGGCCTCTTCGTCCCGGAGTCTGCTCACTCTCTTTCCCGACCTCAACGAGTCAACAGGAGAGAGAACTGGTGCGGTGGCACTGGAACCTCAACCAAGCGCTTCGGAGTTTGCTCCGTTGAACTTTCCGATGCGGTCTGTGGAGCAAAGAATGGCAGTGCAGTCGGATGTGGAGGCCAATCAGTAAACTTTGAAGTCATGTGTGGAAACCATGACGGCGGTCACAAACTTGTCGAACCGGCTGCAGAGTAGGACAAATGCTTTTCTTCTCGAGTTTGAGGAAGATTTCAATGACGAAGCACTACCAGATGGAGAACAAGAAGCTGATGAATCATTACTGGTAGTGACAGAAACTGAAGAAGATGATTCAAGGGATGTTGTAGAGCTAGTGGAACAACATGAGTTCCCCAATCCAGATTTCTTGGATACTAAATCTTTTCCTGTAACAGTCAATGCATTTTGATGTAACTTCCTGCTAGCTTGCAATACCCAAATATTGAGTTAAGTACTCTCATGGACCTAAGTGTGAGAGTACCCATGCATGTATAAACTAGAGCATAAAGGGAAACATGCCACCAAAAAATAAAAAAAAACATAAAATAAAATAAGTGAAATATAAATATTAAATCTGACTTAGAATTCATCCACAAAATTCTTTGAGCTGGTGAGGAAAAAAGTCTCGAGGAGGGCTATTAAAGCAATGTCAAAGCCTCACTCCTAACAAAAACCACATAAAAATCTTCTCAATATTATTATCCTTTTCATGACAATAAGCAACACAATTTATTCTTCAATCTCAAATTGACTCAACTTAACAAGCCTCCATCCCAATTACTTGGGGTTGAACTGTTTTCTCCGGTTAGTTCCTATTAAAAGTCATGTCCTCAATTAGTCTAAGCCAATCACCTCCTTTTGTACAATCTCAACCTATGTCCTCCTTCAGCTTTCTTCTATTTTTGCTCAATTTCTAAATTGAGCAAAAATATTGCTCTTGCTATTTGTTTTATTAAATAATGCTCTATTATCTTTCCTTATTTATAACCAGGCTCTTGATTGAACCATTTTTGGCCCCCTTTTGCATTTCTATGTTCAGTTTTTGTACAGACTAACCGACAGTGAAATGGAGGGAAATTTATCCTTTTGTTATTTATATTTCGTTTTCCTGCCAGTTGTGTAAAACCCAAACAACACATAACAAGAAAAGGGAAAATTATTGTGTGTATAATGAAGGGAAATTCAAGGGTGGGCAGAAATCAAGTGGCAAACACGAAGGCAAAACAAAAAATCTTCTTTTCTAGCAGAGACTACCATACAATAACAAAATCATGGAAACTGAAAAAAAAAATAACAAAGTACAGAATAGTAAACTTGGCACGTACATCTGACTGAGTGGTTCTCAAGCGCTTAGATACAAACGGTTCCGCCAATGCTAGAAGGCCACTAGAATTTGTTAATTCAATCAGACAATCCCATTGCCCGTCCAGCTCGGTAACATTTGTTGCAGTAAGGATGATTACATTTAGACACTCGATCTACAACAAGAAACACCAATTTGACGTCAGTAATTCAAAGGATTTTGTCAGGGAAAATAAATAAAAACATAGACCAATAACAATGGAATCACAATCTAGAGAGGTACAACAGGACTAATCAGCAAAATGCAGCAAACAGTCTAAAATTATAAGATTTATACAGTAAAGTAGAGACAGGAAGGGCAGGCAGTCACTGTTAGTAACAAATATTTAGGACACAGTAGAGGACAGCATTGGTAATATACATGTCAAAGATAGCTTTCAGCCAATAGGATCTATGCTCCTTCATTTTTACCTAAATTTCACTCACTTTAGTCTTGCTCCTAGCTATGAAAACATTCTTCTTGCTTTCATATATTGAAAGCCTTTTTTTTCTTTTTGCTTTTTTGTAAGTTATATGTTGAAATCCATATTTCTGTGATGAAATGCTAATGTGAGTTTTAAGGCATTCCATATTTGACATCTTAAATTATGAGGGCTGCTATTTGCCCCCACCATTTTACTTTGGCCCCCCCACTTCTTTGAACCCCCATCCAACAAAATGAAACCCCATTTTCTCTTTGAACCCCCACCTTAATACAAACTATATCTCTAACCCCAAATTCAAACCCAAAATACAGTGTCATGAGTTTATATATGTTGGTGGTTGGCAGTGTAACGAGTTTATACATACAGTCAAAACTCAAGAATCAAACAAGGGACAAAACTCTCTATCCTATACATACAGTCAAATGCAAGCAAGGCATCTTAAATAATATTGTCTACACCCAAAAAACGACGGAGCAAAGTGTCAGAACTAACTTACTGGTCCCTTCCAACACTGAGAATCCACTGAGCAGGATGAGTTAAATATGGCTCGGCTTGAGAACTGCTGCTCAAAATTGGCCCGAGACTCTCAAGCTCAGAATTAAATTCCCTCTCAAATTTCCTGCAGATTATTCACAGCATATTAATAGTGATTTATCCTTACAGAACAGGATCAGTGACTGCTGCATTTTCAGTGGCTAACTTCAGTGCCTGGAATGTCAATGGATTTAATGATGTTCTATATTACCTTACTTGTTTTCTCCACGTTAATATGTGCTAAGCATACGCTAGCATTCAAATCTCAAAACAGATGAGAAATCCAACACATTTATTATATCTGATCTGACAAATAGTATGTGTTTATTCAGGAACAATTTTTCCTATACAAGTACTATGAACTCCAATCCAATTAAACTCTTGCACAATCAAAAAACACTAAATGACAAGGTTGATCGGACAATTTGCTAATATATGGGAAGTGTTCACAGAAGAACCAACTTAAAGATTAATAAACTCAGGTGAGAGAAATATAGAACAGAGACCCATGCCTTGAAATGTTAATCCTAGGTTCAGATAATAAAATAAAAAATAAAAAAAAA